GGACTGCAGAAGGGGCGTGGAAAATAGAAATGAAAGCTGTCTCTAGACTTTATGCAAGAAGTATTTCTTTTTTGCATAGTATGTATTTCCATGAACCTTTTGAAAAGCCCTTGTGGTAGTAAGTTTTGTGATTTTTTGAAAGAATTTCCTAATTAGCATGTTGAAGTTTTTAAGAGGGAATTATTTCTCATCACCAGGTATTTTTTTTAATGTTTTTCTGATAATTAGAGATTGATTTCTTGGGCAGGTGGATGTATCTGAGAGGCTCACACACACACACCCTGGGTTTCCATCCACTGGTTCACTCCCCAACTTCTCACTGTGTTCAGTGTGGGGCTGGCGTTGAAGCGAGGAACTAGGAACCCAGTGCGGTTCTCATGTGGGTGTCAGGGACTCAAGTACTTGAGTCGTTACCTCCTGCCCTCCCAAGGTGTACATTAACATGAACAAAGCTTACAGAAGGGAAAGAAATAGACTGTTAAAAAAAAAAAACTAGGGGCCAGCATGGTGGCGTAGCAAGCTATCTTCTGTCTAGGACATCAGCATCCTCTATGGTCACTGGTTTGTGTCCTGGCTGCTCTACTTCTGATCCAGCTCTCTGCTCGTGGCCTGGTGGGAAGGTAGCAGAGCACGACTTGGTCCTTGAGCCCCTGCACCCATGTGGGCTGCCTAAAGGAGGCTCCTGCCTCCTGGATTCAGACTGGTCCAGCTCCTGGGGGGTGAACTCACAGATGGAAGAACTCTCTCACTCTCTCTGTCGCTCCTCTCTCTATGGATCTGCCTTTCAAGTAAAAATAAGTACTAAAAAACAAAAGCAAACCAAACCAAAACAAACAAATACACCTGTGAGTCAGCATAAATTTCCGAACAAGAAATCACCAGAACCGAAACTGTGGAGTAAGTTAATCCTTCACCTGAGGTGCCCATATCCCATATGTGCCGGAGTCCAGTTCCAGCTGAGTTCGGAGTTCAAGAAAGTTGTATGGAGTCAGCGATAAAGAAAGACACAGACACTGTCACTTGGTGCCTTCTTGCTGCTTTTTTTTTTTGCTCAAGAAGAAGCTGTCCTTTTTATTTACTTAGACACATCACAAGTCTCTGCACAAACATTTGATTTTTTATCTTTAACTTTAGAACTAAGACAGCATGCACAGATGTTCAATTAATTTTTACTTCATGGTCAACCAGGTGCTCTTAAAGATAATTCTGTAAGTTACTATAATCAGTTTCTTTAAAGCAAGCCATTATTCATTCTTCAGAAGTAGCCATTAGGTGACAGCCTGAACTCCAAGGCCAAGGCACAGATGGTTACCTACTAATCAGTAAAACATTCCTACTACATTTTATTTTCACAACTTATCTATCACCTAATGGGAGAAATACATCAAAAGAGAAAAAACATAAGGATCTAAGACAAAAAGTTTCAAATATTAAATTCCCCTACAACTACAGGCTCTACAGCCTCATAAACAAATAGTAATCAGAAGTATATCTCTATGATGTTAATAAAATCATCCTATATTTCCTCTAGTTAAAAAATTATGAAAGTAGCTAAAACAGCTATATTTTCTATGCTCTAAAGAGTTGCTAGGACAGGCTAACCTTTAAGGTCACAGTAACTATATTTTTGCCATAGCAGTTTCCACTCATACTCCCATCACTTCCATTAGTTTGTAAAATTCTTATTAAGCCATTTCCCAGAAGGCATGCTACATGTCTGGGCCCGATTTCAGGACAATGGGTAGGCACACAATAAGATATCCAGAAATGGCATGGGTTTAATTGGACTCCTGTGCGCAGTTAAAGGCCCACTCACCAAGACATTATCAATAACATTAACTCTCAAGTTCACATTAGTTGCCAAAGCCATCTCACGGGGCAAACAATGCCTCAATAGATTACAGAATTCTTAGTGGGGTGCTTGAGTGTCCATGCAGACAGTGGGCGAGACTGCGTCAATGTGGTCAGAGAGAAATCTGCCAGGCTCTGCCAAACAGCTGGAAGCTCCCCCGGGCCCTGCCAAGCAGCGAGCTGTTCTCTTCACACCTTCATGCAATCCACACCTACTCCACGGACCCCAGCACATATGGGCATATGGGAACAAGTTTGTATCACAGATGCTCTACTTCTTTTTTTTTTTTAAGATTTATTTATTTTTATTAGAAAGGCAGATATATATAGTGAGGAGGAGAGAGAGAAATACCTTCCGTCTGATGATTCACTCCCCAAGTGATCACCAGGGCCAGAGCTGAACCTTTCCGAAGCCAGGAGCCAGGAGCTCTTCAGGGTCTTCAGCACTGGTGCAAGGGTCCCTAGGCTTTGGGCCATGCTCGACTGCTTTCCCAGGCCACAAGCAGGGAGCTGGATGGGAAGCGGGGCTGCCTGGATTAGAACCGGCACCCATATGGTATCCAGGTGTGCTCAAGGCAAGGACTTTAGCTGCTGGGCCATGGTGCCAGGCCTACAAATGCTCTACTTCTAATCCAGTTCCCTGCTTGTAATGTTGGGAGAGGGGTAGAGGATTGATCAGTCCTTGGGATCCTGCACCCAATGTGGAGCTCTGGAGGAAGCTGCGGGCCCCTGGCTTTGGATCACCCCAACTCTGGCCATTGCGGTCTTCTGGGGAGTGGGTGAGTATGTAGAAGATCTCCCTTTCCGCCTGTACTTCTCTGTAAGATCTGCCTTTCAAATCAAAAGAAAGAAAGAGGGAAGGAAGTCGCTAGGCTCAGGTGGGTTTACTGATGTGCCTTAGCAAACATTTAAGGAAGAAATAATATCAATTTCCCAAAATCTGTTCCAGAAAATAGAAGCAGAAAGAACATGACCCGATTCATTCTCTGAGTTAAAATTTACTCTATCGTCAAAATTTCATAAAGGCATTACCATAATAAAAGGAAACAGAGCCATTATCAAAGATTCAAACATCCTCAATAAAATGTGAACATCAAAACTGACAGCGTGTGAAAAGGATTATCTGCCACATTCAGGTGGCATGTGTTTCCAGGTATGCCAAGTAGTTTCCAATCGTGAAAATATGCTATCTATTCCATCAGCAAGCTAAAGAAGGAAAACCATTTGATCCCGTGACTGAATTTGGATAAGTATTTGACAAAGCATAACACTCTTTCACAGCAAACGATATTGGGAAACTAGTAATAGATGGGAACTCCTGTTGCATCCACTTGACCGCTAAAACGCAGAATGACAATCAACAAAGTTCTATTACAAAGGAGAGGCAAGGCAACTGACTGACTCACCGACCGGCTGACCGGCCAGCCGGACCAACACCCCTTACCAGAGTGTGGACCCAAATGGCACATTCAAAGGGTTTTTATAGGGGCAATTTACAACAGTTCCAAAGGGGCAATTTACAATAGCTTGTAGGGTGAGGGAGGAAAGACTGCACACTCCCTGTTTATCTTGGCTGGGCAGCCCCTGTCTGCCTCTGCTCGGGTCCGGGCTCTGGCCTTGGCACCACCTGTGGCAAACAGACTCTGATCTTGGAGTTATCTGTGGATTAATTATGCTGGGACCTTGACTTGTGGGGTTGGGGGGGGTATTGACACTAAAGGTCACGTTGACCATTAGGCCTGCAAGCTCACACAGTTTCTTAGTCAAGCAAGTAAAGCAGGAGTTACTAAAGTGGAAAGGATTGCAGTTAGCAATGAGCCATGCTTACTCCACTTTGATTTCAACTCTGCACTTCCTAACTTGATAAAGAAATGTGTACAAAACCCTACAGGTAGCATCATACTTAATGATGATAGACACTTTCCCAAAGTCTTCTGCACAAGCAAGGCAAGGCTGTCCTTTCTCACTCTTTCTGGTCAATGTTCTCAATTCCGTGGTCCTCTGGCCAGCACTCAAGTGTCTGTATAGTCTCTTTGTAGCTCAAGTGTATGGACTGACAAACAGTAATTTCCTTCTTGGCTGTTACTCTCACAAGGTTGAGGTATAAGGTGGCTGTGGTTACTTTCACATCTTCCAGCCCCGCCCCACTAAACTCATCCATGTGATTCCTTCCAGTCACGGCACAATCTCTTCCCATCTTGCCCTTCCGGTAAGGCGTCCCAGCCTTGATGGAGTGGAATCTGGTAGGGCTTCTCATGGCTCTTCTTCCCAGGGTGGGTGATGTCCAAGACTTAAATTTAAAGTTGACTTGCTTCACGAAGTACACGGGTGCTTGCTCGATGCCTGGACAGTAAGTATCTCGATTCAACTTGAGCGGAAAGCAGCACTCTTTGGTGGTTCTGTGAGTGGCTGTTAGCTCCGGGGTGTGGGGGGAGGAGGGGGTCCTGAGAATAGCCACGGAGAGAGCCAGCCCCCTTGTACCTTGACCCTTCTTCACATTTACAGAGCCGCCTGCTGTGTGTCCTGGCTGTGTGTCCTCTTGAGGTCTCTTTTTGGCCTTTGCAAGAATCTCTCTCCCATTTGGCTTGTTCTTCTGGGTAATGTAGTAGGGTTTTCGACCCTGAGTACGGCAGCAACCTCAATTCTTGTCTCGCAGGAAAGAAGCGCACACAGTTTAGTTTTTTTTTTTTAAAGATTTATTTATTTTTTATTACAAAGTCAAATATACAGAGAGGAGGAGAGACCGAGAGGAAGATCTTCCATCCAATGATTCACTCCCCAAGTAATCACCAGGGCCAGAACTGAGCCTTTCCGAAGCCAGGAGCCAGGAGCTCTTCAGTGTCTTCAGCACTGGTACAAGGGTCCCTAGGCTTTGGGCCATGCTCGACTGCTTTCACAGGCCACAAGCAGGGAGCTGGATGGGAAGCGGGGCTGCTGGGATTAGAACCGGTGCCCATATGGGATCCAGGTGTGCTCAAGGCGAAGACCTTAGCTGCTGGGCCACGCCGCCGGGCCCCACAGTTTAGTTTTAAAGCAAAATTTATTAGGAAAGCTGAGAAGAGGAGTTCCTGGCCTAGTAATGGGAGGGGGCTTCCAAGAGAGAAAAGAAGAGAGAAAAAGAGCCCAAGCCTCCTGCCATAGTGGCTGGAGGATAGAAGGAAAATCCCCAAATTAATGGTGGGGATGGTGGCTTTTAAAAGTTCATCGCAAAGGAGTTTCTCCATAAATAAAGGAAAAGTCCTGATTTCCACTGAATGATAACGAGGCCAGTCTGACACCTCTCCCCTTGGCCTTGGCCAGAGACATTGGACTGGCGCTTTAGGTGGAGAACTTGACATGTTAATGCGCCTCTTCGGGAAGTGTGTTCTTGATATGTTAAAGTATGCACCGTCTCTTGCGAGAAACGTGCTCTGGTGAATCCAAGACATGGTGGGGAAAATGCCCTTTAGTATTTGAGAAAAAAAAATGATGACTTGGGGGACCCAGAATACCCTAACTGCCTACTACCCAGTCTGACAGCAAGATCCCAGGACTTTGTATAAAACATAAAGCAACCAAGGAAGGGAAGATCTATTCAACCTGGCCATTTGAGACCTAATCTGTTTCCGTGAAAACTGCGGGCAAGTGGATTTCAGGCTAGGGGAGCCTGCAGTGACATGGTCACATCCACCGACTCCCAGCTGCCCTTGCATTTCCCTCGGTCGGATCCTTGCCCTCCGAGTGTTACTTCACTGCAGTGTTCAGCTCAGAAAGGCCTGGTCCCACTGGGGCCCTTCACTTCTGCTTTCTGGGCTGTTTTGCATGTTGACGCTTTGAGGAAAAGGCCCACTTCCCTACTGACAGCCGGGTCTGCAGCAGCAAACACTCCTGCTTGCCCAGGCTTGTCTTCTGCTTTCTCTTCGTTTCAGCACTTCTCATTTTTTTTTTTAATTTATTCAAGAGGCAGAGAGACTAGCAAAGAGAGCTCCTCTTCACTGCTTCACTCCCCAGATGCACGTGACGGCCAGCGCTAGGCCAGTGTTGGAGCTAGGGATCAAGAATGCAAGTCAGGTCTCCCTCCACTTGAGCCATTGCTACAGTCTCCCTACAGGAAGCTGGAGTCGGGAGCTGAAGCCAAGCATTGAGCCCAGGTACTGCAGGGTGGGGCATGGTTGCCTTTTCTAGGGATCTGACCTGTTGGTCAAATGCCTGCCGCTGCTCTCCTGCAAAAATGCTTCTTTCTGTTTCACGTGCTTTTGCTTTTCTGTACTTCCCGTTGCCTGGAATTCCAGACCGGTAATTCAATCCAGGATGTGAAGGTAGGTCAAATTTGTAGGAATCAAATCTATTCAGAAACTGGGACTGTAGGACCGCCTACGTATCCCCAGTGCCCGTGGGAAGGATCCGGTGGGGCGTTTGTTTGTGTGTGGGTTTTGCCTCCTATGCTGCCTGTATTCCGCTGCAAAGCGTATGTGCATCTTGAGCTGGGAGTTAAGCAGGTTGCCATCCTAGTGTATGCTGGCGGTTGTAGGAAGCTGAACCATCTTTCTTGCTCCCTGCATAACCGTGACCACCTTCGTTAAGCATTGAATCCATGTATGCCTCAGGCATATGGAAGACAGACTTAGGAAATTCCAGGAGCTCATCTATAAGATTCTAGACTATTTTGCATTGACACACAATTATTTTTTAATTGGCTAGGAGAAAACCTGTTGATGAGTCTTTAAATTGTGTTCGGTAGAATCTGAGAAATTTAATTAAAAAACATTTTGTTTGAAAGGCATGAGAGATGAGGAGAGAGGCAGAAACCAAGGTTGCACCCACTGAGTCCTTGCCCCAGTATTCCCACCAGCTGCGGGTATACCAGGACAAAGCCAGGACCCAGAACTCAATGCCACTCGCCCAGCTGAGCTGCAGAGACCCACGTGCTTGAGCCTTCGTCTCTTCCTGTTACAGGATGAGTTAGCAGGAAACTGGAATGGAAAGTGCAGTGTGACCTGCAGCCACCCAACGTGGTGTCTTCGTTACTGTGCCAGGCTCCTTCCTGGGAAGATTTCTTGCTGTATGTTCAGTGAGGCATTTTTATTTAAAGCAGGACGTTTTAGTTTCTCCAGCAAGCCCAGAGGTCTCTGTAAATACTGTTCGAGGGCTGTGGAATGATGGAAAAGTAAAATAGTAGCTTAAAGCTGAGCTCCTCAGCCAAGCAGTCACAGGTCAGACAGAAGTCACGCCTGCCACCTGTTGTCGATAGCCGTCCACTGTCTCATTGATGGGATTCCCAGCCCCTCAGATCTTCTAAGTCTTGGATTCTGGCTGGGGCCAGGGGAATCAAGAAGGGCTCTTTAACTGTGGTGCCTGGTTTATTTTTTCCATGTGGTTTGCCCAGAGAAAGACACACTCGTTAAGACCCATCAGTCTCTTTTGCTTGTATGCATGCACTTCAGAAAGCTGACGGTGAATGGAATTGAGAAGATAATAAATTTGTCTTGATAACAAACGAGTTCTCAAATCTGTGCATTGTGGGATTTTGAAAAAGCTCTTGGAGAATTCATGTTACTAAGGGAAGCTATACCCAGATATAAGATTTTTCCAATTCCATGAGCTTGTCAGAATGTATTTTCTGACAAGCTTGTATTGTCCCCAGGGGAGAGTGAATGATGAGATGCTTCTGGATTCTGGAAATGGTATACATCACTGGGGAGATGCCCGTGGACCTGCAGGTCACTGGGCACAGCCCCAGGGTGGCCTTTCCTACGTGAGAGAGCGGAGGGGACATCGGTAAGGGGTTTGTTTAGACACAGTCTGTTACTCACAGAGGCCACCTCTGTTTTTTATTTATTTTGTCTTATCTGTAAAGAGTTATTTTACTCACTTGAAAGGCAGTTACAGAGAGAGAGAAAGAGACACAGACAAAGAGATACAGAGAGGTCTTCCATCCATTGGTTCACTCCCCAAATGAACAGATCCAGGAGCTTTCTTCTGGGTCTCCTACATGGGTACAGAATCCCAAACACTCAAGCCATCTGCTGCTGCTTTCCTGGGTGCATTAGCAAGGAGCTGTATCAGATGTGGAGCAGCCAGGACATGAACCAGTTTCCATTTGAGAGGCCAGCATTGCATTGTACCCAGAGCTTAACTTCATGATACCACAACATCAGCTCACTCTTATACACTGCCGCCCCTCCACCAGCAGTCTTCTTAATAATCAGTTGCTCTTGGAGGAATCTTCACTTTCTTGGAGCACATTTGTGTGCTTTGCAGCATCCGGGAGGAGAGGAACTGCAGAGACCACTCTCGGTGCAGTCCTGAGCCGGAGTTCCCGTCCCTTGCTATCAACCCAGCACGGGGGAATGTTGCTGTCTTTCCAGAGCCCCCTTTCCAATGGCGCTCCAGGGTCAGATGAGCTTCTGTTGCTTCCCAAAATCCTGTATTCTCCACTAGTGTTAACTGCACTTGGAGCATGCAATGCTAATTATAGGACAAGTTCTCAAGAGCGCTGAAAGAGGGCTTCAAAGTTACCAGGGAACATGGGAATGGTCCTTCTGTGATTGACCTGTTACATGAAACATAATGTCCCTCAGCTCCTTCGATGGTGCTGCAAATGACAGTAATAGTAGTACTAGAGAGAGAGAGAGAGAGAGAGAGAGAGAGAGAGAGAGAGAGAGAGAGATATTTTCTGCAGACTGGGAAGAGTGGGAAGGCTTGGCACGATACATGGTTCCCTCCGGGAGATCGGGAACAATGCAGTGTGCAAGGGTGCAAGCCTGGGAAACAGGGCTTCAAGTTTACCAGGGAACATGGGAGTGGTCCTTCTGTGATAGGGAGTGTGAGCCCAGGTCTACTAACAAACCCAGAGGGACAGACACTGGACCATCTCCTACTGGGTACTGTTTCTCCATGCTGAGGTCACAGACTTGCATCTCTCTGTGCTTGCTTTTGCACAAGGAGGTGCCACCAGAGCATGATCTTGTGTGGCAGACTGGTGGAGGGTGTTGGTCAGCAGAGCCTGGTGCTGGGTCTCTGCTGGGCCACTTCTCTATAACTCACCAGCCAAACTCTGCTCAGCCCAGCAGGCATTTAGATCAGTTCTCCCTCTGGGCCAGCTTCATTCCTCTTTCTTATGAAAATTAATCTAGCCCATAGAGGAAGTTTGTCCTTATACTCAACTCCTGCTGCATAATTTTCTCAGCTTTAAGCTGCAGAAGAAAATCCCTGGTGCCATTTAGCTGGGCTGCTTTGCATGGAGATGGCCTAGTGGCTTTGCGTGTGATGGGCGTAGATTTGCATCACCTTGATTTCTGCCCCAGGTAGAAACTGCCCCAAGAGGACCACTTCACTTTTGCCAGAGTGGCCTCGGTCTGTTATCAGGATGCTCCAAAAGGTTTGTGAGTGTTCAATTCAAAGATAATGGATATTAAGGATGTTTTTCCAATTCAGTATGTGTGAATGGCTATACCAAATAGATCAATGAATAGAAAGTGAGAAAGATGGTAGTCCAGCAGGAAAGTAGCCAAAGACTAATCACCAAATGAAAAGATGTTCAGCTTCACACCTGTAAATCATAGGATAACCACCAGTCATTGAAGCCATGGTAGTGTGTAATTATTATCATATTTTGGCAAAGATTTTAAACAAGCTTAGGGCCACCCTAGCTGAATTTCAAGTGCAAAAGAATTTTGAAATCCAAGTATAGTTTCCTGTTATCATCGTGTCTATGAACTGTTTGAAGACCCTGGATGTGCATGGGTTTCAGAAGTTTTGGCATCACAATGAGCCTACGTTTGTGTTCCATTTTCCATGATTTACTTTAAAGCACCCTTGTTTGTCTGTGTGGGGAATCTCCTGCCCAGTGATGTGAGAAGGAGTCACTTTAAATTCAGGTATTGTTGGCAGTGCTCATGACAGGAAGTTAAAAGGCAGACGGCACCTGCAGGAGCCGTGCTTCAGTGGTCTCAAGAAAAGCAGAAGCTTTGAATCCCGGGGTCCGGGGTCACTGTGAGGATGGCTGGGGTGATTTCTCACAGGAAGGCCGCAAAGATGCAGGCAGCATCTCCCATCAAGCTGGAAAATGCTGACATTTGAGCATGAGTAAGAGGAACAAAAATCAGACACAAAGGTGCTTCGAAATACTCCTGGAACAAGGAATAAAAGATGATTTTGGCGTAAAACAAATGCGTTTGTGCATGATTTTTCTTTTTCATAGCAAGAATTTCTATAAGTTTTCTGAAAACCCTTCATATTTAAGGACATAGTCTGATGTGTATGCAGATAAGTGCTTTTCCGAGATACCTCAGGGAAACTATCTCTAGAAGGAGATGGGTTCTTCTCCGAGAGGGGAGAGGTTGGAAATTCCTGAGTCAGGTCTGCCAGGTTTGGGAATTGACCCACTCAGTGTGTTTGCAACCTCAGGACCCTGGGAGCATTTTCTCAGTCATTTGTGGATGCAAACTAAGCCACGCCAAAGCTGCTACCCAGCGTGTAACCAGGGGTGGAGCACGCGGTCACCCTGCCTCTTTGGTTCAACTCGCCTAGAGTGAATAAGCTCACATGATCGGGTTTTTCTTTCCTTTTTGTTTTGCATTTTTGTCCTTTCTGTTAATTTCACTATTTAAAATGGCCTCTGGGGGTAACGCTGAATTGGTGTCTGTAAGCAGGAGAGGGTGTGACATGCTTCTGAAGAAAACGTGGACCTTGCAGAAGCCCCATTGAGGCGTGATTTGTGGTGAATTTAACACTAGAATATCAGTAGCATCGGATGCACTTTTTAAAGCACAAACCTGCAGACAGTTAGCTTGTGGACTGATTGGTCAACACACCAGTAGAGGCCATGCACCCATATTCATATTTCCCTAAAAGCGGTGGTTTAGCATTTACAGAATCAGGCTTCATGGAGAGGTTATGGATGCAACTACCAGGAGTAACAGGAAGTGAGTGTTGTGTGTTCCATACATGTGATAGAAAGAGGGTAGAGTAATAATCATGCTGAAATGGAGGGAGGACAGAGAAGAGAATGGCACACCGAAGCTGCGTGTGTTGCAGTGCTGTTCGTGGCAGGAGACTCGTAGGAACTCAGCGTCCGCCTTTCACCCTGGTTCCGCAGGTGCCAGGCTCAGGCAGGTGACGCTTGCAGGTTTTGGGGAGTCAGCTCTCT